GAAGTCTATGACGACAGGGACTATGACTTGTTATCTTAGAACAATACCTTAGCATTAAAGGTCCTCAATGTTTGTTGAGTGACTGACTTAGTAAATATAATTAGGACTTGTGCCAAAGAGAAACAGTCATTTACAACAGAAGGAGGAGAGCAGTGTTGAGGGAGCCGGCAATCCGGAGACCTCCCTTCCAATCCTTGCTCTGCTACTAACCCCAGGTTCATCACTTCACACCTCTTGTCCTCAGTTTCCTTATTTGGAAAATGAGAAGTTGGATCAGCTGGCTTCTAAGGCGTTATCTAGCCCCACACATTCTGTGAAATGTCATGTTTATTCTGTCTTCACATAAAAACCAAATCAGCCTGTCATCCAAAGATGGAAACATGAGGTATTTTTCTAGTGGTTGTGATACGGGTCTCATGTATATATCCCATTCAGGGAATGGCCTAGGACCGTCCACAGAGCACCGCAGGTGTTCACAGCAGAGGCTGCCTGGCAGTCTTTCCTTTTCATCATCTCAGCAGCGGCACCGTGACCTGTACTTAACCCTTTGCAGCCCAGAGCCCTGTGGGCTGCCCAGCATTTGCTTCCCGTTGATTCCTTGCTCATCTGCCACTATCTGTGGCTGGGAGGTTTGGTATCTCTTTATAAAGCTTAAGTCCTAGGGGAAAAGAAGATAATTGTGTTGCTCTTCCTGGATCTCATCCTTTTGTACTTAACATATTCTTGGGCGGCTTTACCCTCTCCATATATCCCTTCTGTTTTCAAATATGCACCTTCTCATTGAAATTGAAAGCCCTTCTCCAGCTCCATTTGCTCCTTCTTTTCATAATCTATCCATTTTTTTTCCACTACTTTTTTTCCACCTCAAACATACATTCTATTGAAACTGCTCTCCGACTTTGGTGGGGCTCTGTTTTGTGAAGCCTACTAGCTTGTAGTTGAGCTGATAAGCTGGAGTCTAGCATAGCCGCTAGACTCATACAACAAGCGATGTCATAGTGGGTGTACAATCCAAGGACATACAAAGGGAAAGCACATACGACAGAACCGAAGGAGTTGAGAGGGTTGGTATAATTAAAGTCAGATGTGGGGACCCTGAAGTAGGTCTTGGATGCTGACTGAGGGGAGGAGAGCGAGCATTTCCTTAGAAGGTAGCGTGGATTGCTGGGTGGTAGGGAGTAATTCCACCTGGCTGTGATGATTTATCTATAGAGGTCCTTCGAGAGTCAGGCTGGTAAGATAGACGGGGTAAAGCCAAACTATTAAGAGATGCCTTGGATCACAGACTGAAGTCAAGGAGTGTGGACTCACTTGTGGAGATAAGGGCACTATTAAAACATTTAGCAAGAGGAATGATGTATAAAAGGATATATCGTTTGATAGAGGCAGGAGGAACTGAATATAAGGAGAAAGTAAAGGCAAAGAAGTCAGGAAAGTCTCATCTCTACACTGATTCTATAGCTCTGAACTCTGCCTCATTTAGTACTTTGTAAATATGCAATGACGGCTGGACAGGTCCAGCTTGAGGCACCGTCATTTCCACTTCGCGAGTTTTAAAAAACTATCGTCTCCCCAGTCCATTTCAGACACTGGCATAGAAATTATTTTCTATAAGTAAAAATAACATAAACAGTTGACTTACTCCATATCCAAACAAACCAGGCACCACATCCCACGGATGTTTCTCAGATACACACAAAAACAATGCTCAAAAAAGCCCTTCGGTGTCTCCCATTGCTGGTAGAATGAAGATCAAACTTCTTTATGTAGACTTCAAGGTTTGCCACCAACTGCCTGTGCCTCTCCCTCCAGTCTTCTCACTTACTGGACATGTCCTGGAGGCAGGTGAACCCCAGCCAAGCCAAGTAACTGAATAGTTCTGCTCAAAGCCACCAAATGTTTGCATCTTCTGTCATTACTCCTGTGTCTGGCTCATCTTTGTATCTCTGCATTCAAATAACAGTACCTAGCACATATTTGTAGTTGCCTTAGTAATTCCTTCCATTTGCATAGTGCTTTAAGGTTTTCAAAGCATTTTTAAATACATTATCTCACTCTTTCCTTCCCACTATGTTGAATACATGGCACCCAAGAACATGGAAATTCACTTAGAAGTAACAAAAAAAATCTATGGATGCTAGGAATGAAGTCAGTTACAGACCATAAATTAAATTGTAAAGTTAAAATGAAAAATTATTAATTTGGTGCTATCAACATGCAGAGGTTAAAACACAGCAACAGCCCACGTTCTATTAATACCTACCTTTTCAGAACACAACTGAGAACCAAGACTTTTGTACATCTCAAATGTTGCCAAGTCTACAATGTACTTTATTCAAATGCTTCTGATCTCAAAGCCAATTTCCTCTTATTTTGGATACATCTTTAAAACGCTTGGTCATGACGAAAACATTAAGGCCAGATGGTCTATTTATTGCTGTATTTCCAATCCTAGCACACTGCATGGCAATAGGTATGTCCTGTTGTGTGCCAGGGAATTTACATCTATTCAAGTTGCTAAAATGGTTTGATATGGACCACACCTTGATTTAACTGCTGCATACGGATTCCCTGAGGTTGGATTCAGGTACCATTTAAGCCTCCTAATTCTAAGGAACAGTAATAGAAAAGAACCACAGTAAACTGACTTGGGGTGAATCCAAAGCTTGCTTTATTCACTTACTCAGTGGTCATTTTGTGACAGGCAGCTCATAAAACAGTGATAGTTATACTGGAGTTCATCCTTGGGTTGAAAATGAGATAAAATACCCTCTTTGGGCTTGTTTGTAGTGGTTTTCTAATGGCACAATTCCCTGTTTCATCCCTCTACGCTGGGGGACAGGAAGGCAGTTAAAGCACCAAATGGTGGTCAAATTTCACCTTTACTGACCACCTTCCTATATCTGGTGGGATTTTAGAAGACATATAGTTACAGATGCTCTTCAGCTTATGATGGGGTTACACACCGGTAAGCCCATTCATTGTAACCTGAAAAATCTTAAGTAAAAAATGCACTTTTGACTTACAGTATTTTCAACTTATGATGGGTGTATTTGGATACAGCCCCATTTTAAGTCCAGGGGTACACAGGATGCACACTGCTTTCACACCATCATAAAGTTGAAAAATCCCATGTGGAACCATTGAAAGTCAGAGACTGTCTATATTTGGGATTTTGTGAAGCTGATATTGAAGTGTGGGGTTAAGACCCATACCCCAGAAGTGCTAGTTTTCAAGCACATCAGCTCTTCCTACTCTGTCACTTTCTAGATATTAAAGACACAGGCATTAAAAAGTAGCAGTTTAGCTGGGTGTGGTGGCTCACACCTATAATCCTAGTACTCTGGGAGGCCGAGCAAGGCAGGAGGATCGCTTGAGGTTAGGAGTTTGAGACGAGCCTGAGCAAGAGTTAGACTCTGTCTCCACTAAAAATAGAAAAAAATCAGCTAGGTGTGCTGGCACATGCCTGTAGTCCCAGCTACTCGGGAGGCTGAGGCGGATCGCTTGAGCCCAGGAGTTTGAGGTTGCTGTGAGCTAGGCTGACGCCACGGCACTCTAGCCCAGGCAACAGAGTGAGACTTTGTCTCAAAAAAAAAAAAAAAAAAAGTAGCAGAGTTTAATGGGAAAAAAAACAAACTTAGGAATCAATCAGTAGGTCTGACCTGTTTCCTCATTTGTAAAAAAGGGTGGTAGCACCAACCACACTATCAATCACCTCATAGGTTTGTTGAGTGGGCAAAGGTAAAAGGCAGACATACTGCCTGGCACAGACACAATGGAGATACCCTCATACAGCACCGTAAGAATCATAAAGCCTGGGTAGTAAGAAAATCACTGGTCGGGCATCTTATAATAGCTTTAGAGATCCTTTTTTTTCCTTTTCTCAATTTAATTGCATTCCAGCTTCAGAGATTTTTAAGATGTGTTCCGCTACTAACCTCACAGAATTCTGTGGAAAACAGAATGAAGAGGCCAAAGAAAGTAGCTTCACTTTATATTTGTGTAAGGCTATTCAAAGTACACAGATGTGGAAGGTTTACAGAAAATGTTTTAATAGGTAGACAATGCAAATGATAAGATGAGCCCTATTGTAACCAAATTAAAACATGGCAACCTGGAAGATGCTATAAAAGCAACCCAATCTGAAATTGCTTGTTAGACCTATACTGTATTTGCAGGTTATATTCCAAAGTCAAGCCTAAAACAAAAACTGCATATAGTTAAAACTGCTCTTGAAAACCTCCCTAAGAGGACCACGTACTATTTCTGTCAATAAATCCAACATGACAGTCTGATTTTCCTTCCAGCATCCCACCAGTGGGATTGTGTTTGTTTATGTAGTGGGCTTGTGTTTGTTTACAGGTCATATTGTTTGAATGTTACGTATTAATACCTTTGAACACTAGGAAAGAAATGTGCTCTGTGCCTTTCAATACAACCATGGAGGAACCCACTGACTGAATAAACTGTAAATCCATACTTAACCATATCATGGTCATTCTAAGGCAGAAATTCCCTGAGTGCAACAATGGAGCTGATCATATCATTTAAATAAAATGAGGTTATTTAAATAAACAAATGAGATATTTATTTATGGATAAGTGCATGCAGCTGAATTACAAATTAAGTGTGTATTATTCACTGGCACTGTGCTTCCATTTTAGAAATACCCCAGTGTATATGGCTTTACTCTAGCAATCTTTTATAACTTTTGGACAAGATCGACAGTAAGAAATTCATTTGAAATTGTAACCCACTACACACATATGTATATAACATGTGACAAAATATTTACACAAAATATTTACCTTTATTACATGCCATGTACTTGATATATGCCATCCTGTTATAGTTTGTTAATAGAAATTTAGGTTGCAACTCACAGTCTATGTCTTGATCCTTAACTGAGTTAGTCTGAAGAACACTGGAGAATTTTAAGCTTTTAACTACTCAGAGTAGGGCATTACCTCGAGGATAAGGAAAACAAATCAAGCAAGCACATTTGTCCATAATATTTTAATACTTTTCCACTTTAAATACTGGTTTTAATTTTGTGATTGTAACATGGAAGATCCAACTTATTATTTTTAAAAAACATTATCAGGATCATAAAGCTATTATAGAATAGTTACACTCTACACACTCCCAAGATACTTTAAAATGATTATGTTTTGAGTTTGTAGATGAACAATGACAACAATCCAAATACATCATCTGTACAACCTGGACTAAATACTGGTGAAAAGTGGTTAATTGGACAAATAACTGATAAGCTTAAAGGTAACCAGCACGATTTCACAAAAGAACCAGCTCAGCCCAACCTAAAATTTCTTAGTAACTGACACTGATGTTGTGCAGGTGTACAAATTAGTTGATGAAACTGAACAAATGGGAGATCCATTCTTGCTTTTCTTTATTTTGTCTTCTTACATCTTCCTTGCAGACCTCCCCCTCCTTGCTCTGGCTGACCAAGTGTTAAATGATTATCCTCTCCCTCAAAACTAGGAGTCCTGAATTCTAACTGAAACACTGAGGTCTCTTATTATCCTGTATAGTGGGCACTCAGGGACAAAACCCCCACATCACCAATATTTTTTAAGTTTCTAACATAGCGCAGAAGAGTAACTGAGTAGAAAAGACAGTAAAAGGGTAGAAAAAAAATTTTTTTTTGGCTTAGGGAAGAGAAATAACTGTGGATGAGAAAAACATCATAAATATTCAGTATGTAGGCATTAACAGTATGAAAATAATTCTAGAGGGTTTGAATATTTTCTAATAGGCAAATTCTGCAAATTCTGACTTCTTTTGAATTCTTTCCATATCCCCCAACTCATTTCTAAATCTGATTGGGCATGATTAACTCTAGTGAAGTACCAGTGCACTTATCTAAAGGTAAAATGTATCTTTTCTTTTCCTCTTTTTTTAATACAAACATTTTTAGTGTAGTCATTTTATTTACAGAATACATTGCAAAAGTATATCATCACATTTAGTCCAAATGCAACTAATGATAGTTAGATTTAGATACTGCTTTGTAAACTTTCCATACCTTTGTAAAATAAAGCTATTCAATTTAGTTATGAAAGAGTTAATTATCTGTGTTCATGATAATTACCAGAAATGGCAAACAGAGAAACATTTATGGTGGCCATACAGAATTTTTTGAAGATTCCCATCAGCGGCTATGGTGAATAAACCTTCCCTCCCTAACCCCCCCAATTCTCCCATCCCAACCCCTATCCCACAGCTGATTGTAAAATAAAATACACATTTGAGGTATAAACTTTTCTTTTTTAAACATCACAATATAAAATGTTAACTGGTGATGTAGTAAACCAATATGATAATTTGTCTTATTTGCCTTACTAGCATTACCACCATATAGGCACTTTTCCACGTAGTCAAATTATGAACAGCATTTTTCTGTAATAAGGCATATTCCATGCACAGTTAGAGAAAGGTAAATTAAAAAATAGAAAAGATTTATGGAGCGTGAAATCTGCGTGCATGTAATGTAAGCATATGCTTTATATGTATTTTTCTCTCTGTACAGAATAATAAATATCACTACATCTGATGCAAGTAATTCACTTCCAGGATTGTGCATATTAAGTGATCAGACTAATCCCATCATTAAATTATCATCTTGCATTTATCATCAAGACTCCATTACCATGTATGGAATATATACAGGACATGTTCTACATGACATGACTTTCTGTTTTACAAAATGGGTCTGATTTCTGTGTTTCTACAGAGATGAACAAGTCAGCAAAGCATCTATTATACAAAATGCCTCTGATTTATATAAATACATTTGTGTGTAAACACACTGAAGACTTTGAAGTGGGCAGTCATTTTGACCTCAATGAGTATTAGTCCTTGCCTCCATTCCATGCTTCAATATTTTTCACCGAGGACTAAAACTGAAAAAGGTATTTTACATTTTAAATTCTTATAGCAACGAACAAAAGCATTTCAGTTTGAATCATGTGGAATCCTTTACTGCTCCGGTAAAGTTTCTGATCAAGAGGCAAATAGAAGCATTGCTCACATTTTCTATGTATACTTTGCAATATATCTTTTAAACTGACCCAAACTAGAAGAACAAACATACCCGTTATTGAAAACTAGAAATATTGAATCAAATGCCAAACCCAAACAGTCTGACTTGCTTTAAAACAAGTAATACAGTATATTCTCTCAGAAATTTCAGGAAAACATGAGCTCATTTTATCCCATTTTGCCAGAAAGTAGTCTATACCCACAAGATTTGTACACGTTTCTGTTTGGAGGCAGGCAGAAACAATTTAGGAATTACCAAATTGTGTTTGTAATAAACTGAAAAAAATCTGTAGCACACAGTACACAACTAAAAAATATAATAGAAATATAAAGATATCTGGGGGGAAAAATAAAGCTTTTTACTCTTTCTCCATCAGAACGAAGGTTCTTCATGGGAGTAAGACTATAGAAAAGGCAAAATCACAGGTTATTGACAGCCCTCAGTTATTAAGAGACACTTACATGACACATGAATCATTATAGAAATCAGCAGCAATGAATTTTATGATTATACAAAGCAAAAATGTCAAAAAATTCTGGACACATATTTGACTGTAGGCCTGAAAAAAGAACCTCATCCAGATTTTTGGTGCACAGAAAGCACGTGCCCCATGTGCGTCCAACTTTTGTGCTTTTCTTTTGTGCACAAAACCTGACATAACTGAGGATCTCAGGCCAGATCATAGTAAATTAAAAATTTTGAAAAAGTTTCTAAAAATTAAATCATCAATTCCTAGTTGTGATTCAAAGTTGATTTTTTTTTTCTCTTCTAGGAGCAAGCAAATAAAAATATAGCCATATACATGTAATTTTACATGTATTTATATTATATGCTGAGTGAGGAGATCTAGCAGGAGGACAGCTAGTGTTAGATGTTCAGCTTTGCTATTGCAATATTTCTTCATTTTTGTACACAAGGCCAAGGTCTTGGGCCACAGACAAGGCTATAGATCCTATGTTCCAGCTTAGAGTATTCAATTTTTTTTTCTCCAACATGGAATGTCACACAGCCTTGCTTCAGTCACTGCAGGAAAGAAAATCACACAAGTAAAAAAATTTAGCAATGCATTATTAACACCTGTAAGACTACCAAAACAGAGTCCTTCTACCCTCCAAATTCACGGAAGGGGAATCTTTATTAAAATTTATCTTTTAAGGATTTTTACAAATTTGAAACTTATCTTACCAGCAAGGTATATAAGCATAAGGAATCTTTTGAAAGTTAGAAAAAATTGAAAAGGGCAACATACTATAGGTAAACAAAGAGGGAATTAACGAGAAGTCTCTAGATTTTTATCCCGCAGACTGGCATTGCCTTTCTCTTGGCCTTTAATAAAATATGCCATACATACCATGTATCAAGAATTTTAAAAGTTGATTCAAGCTATGGGAGAGGTCTGCCTTATTTAACACATTAACTGCCATGTGAGTTGTATTTAACTCATGCTAGTTTTGAGCCCGGGGCCTCGTGAAGCACATGTAACTCACATGTCTCTTCACCTTGGGAGCCGTAAGAACTATTTTTCAAGTTGCATATAACTCAGGTACAGAAAACAATAAAAAAACAACAATTTTTTCATTAAATTACAAAGGATCATTTTGTTTTTGAAGTTTTTATTCTATTTTTGTAATAAAACATGGTGGCCCCGAGGAAAAATTTTTTTTCTAGTGTGGCAGTCAATGTGTTACAAAAAAAGTGAGGCCGAGACGGGAGGATCACTTGAGGTCAGGAGTTCGAGATCAGCCTGAGCAAGAGCAAGACCCATCTCTACTAAAAACAGAAAAAATTAGCTGGGCGTGGTGGTGTTCGCCTGTAGTCCCAGCTACTCGGGAGGCTAAGGCGGGAGGCTTGAGCCCAGGAGTTTGAGATTGCTACGAGCTAGGCTGATGCCATGGCACTCAAGCCAGAGTGAGGCTCTTGTCTCAAAAAAAAAAAAAAAAAGCGTATGTGTAGGGAGAATACACTTGTACTTGCTTGTTTAGGCGTTAACAAAAAAATCTCTGGAAAGATACACAAGAAACTACTAATAGCATATTTAATAATATGATCTAATATTATACAGCAAATAATTATATAATTTTTTTCAGTGGGCAAACCTGGGTGAATAGGAAGACAAGGAGGTAAATTTTACTATATACCTTTTTCGTATTTTTGATTTTTGAACCATGTTAATGTACCACTTATTTAAAAAAATTAAAGATTCTACCTTCTTGCATAAAGATGTTTAGTGTAGTATCATTTGACAATAAAAATGGGAAACCAACCCATACATTAACATGGGACTCGTTAATAAATTCTGCAACATTCATATAATATATATTAAAAGAATTAGATCATTTTACACATCTCCTCTTTATATGGAAAGATAGTCAGGATACTTTTTTTTTTTTTTTTGAGACAGGTTCTTGCTCTGTTGCCTGGGCTAAAGTACAGTGGCATCATCAGAGCTCAATGCAACCTCATCCTCCTGTCTCAGTCTCCTGAGTAGCTGGACTACAGGCGAGCACCACCACACCCAGCTAATTTTTCTATTTTTTGTAGAGATGGGGTCTCTCACTCTTGCTCAGACTGGTCTTGAACTCCTGGCCTCAAGCAATCCTCCCACCTTGACCTCCCAAAATGCTAGGATTACAGGCGTGAGGCACTACACCTGGCACTTGTTAAGTGAAAAAAAGCAAGCTGCAAAACATTAAGTATGGAATAAACACTTTTTTTTAAACACTCAAAAGTATATGTCAGTACAACATAGAAAAGTCTGGAAAAATATACAACAAAAATAATAGTTTCTGAGAAAGAATACAGGGAATTTGCACTTCTGAAATTCTATAGTTCTATAATGTTGAAATTTCATTAAGTAAGCATTAGCAGAAAAAAATTAAAAAGTAAGTTTTAAAGGCTATAAACTATCTTGGAACATCATGAAACACGGCAACTACTCTCAACAACTAAATTTTAGTATCTGTGGACTCATACTAGTTAAATAAAATTTAAAAAGAAATGATAAAATAGATCTTACATTACCTGTTAATACTAGAACAAAATAGGTTTTCCTGCAGTTTTTTCTTGGACGTAAGAAGTAAAACGTTTTAGAAATTTAGGATACTCTCGCTTTGCTACTGCCCTTAACACTGAGGCTGGTGCCCATCCTCCAGGGTTCACTGCAAGATAAAGGAAAACGAAAACTTATTAAGATATAATTCTCTAAATACATATAAAGCGCTTAATTTGTTCCCTTGCTTTTAAAAAATTCCTCATGTTGGACCAGTTGGCATCTTTTAAAGTCTCGATTGTTCGTTCATTCCTTAATACTAACCAATAGACATAAACAGATAGGAAATAAGAAATCACTTATTATCTTTCGAAAATGTTCTTTGTTCCCTAAATTATATGCAATATTAGTATAGCAACACCTTAGGTTATTTAAGGCAGATTTATTCATCGACCTCTACTATAATTAACTAGTAACTTTGTTCAGGTACAACTGTTTATTTAAACATACTAGTAGTTATGGCCCTGTATAAAGGGGGTTTGAGAATTTATAAGAGAGACTGCAATGATGACTGCAGGTACAAAATGGGTATAGTAAGGAACCAAAGCAAGTGATGAAAAGGGCTATCCGGCAGCATGTCAAAGTGAAATAAATATGAAACTAGCAACTAATAAGGGGTAGGGGAGCACTGATTGAGAAAACTAAATACCTGACAATGAGAAAAAGAACTGTTAATTTCCTTTCCCATTGTTGCTTATGTTCCTAATAATAAATAACATCCTATTACGCAAATATCTAATAAAACAGTTCTTAAAACCAAGAATGTATGATAGTGATCCAGAGATGAAGTTTTAAAATTTACCTATCCAGCTCCAGCTTCAGAAACTCTCATACAGTATTTCAAGGGCAAAATTCAGGCATGTATATTTTCAAAGTTTCTTAGATAATTTTGATATATGTATCTCCAAGTTAAAAATTAGAAATTAAGGATAAGAACTAAAAAGGCATTTGTCCAAACTGTCATTTATCATACAGATCATGATGAAGAACATCCACATTAAGTAGCAAAAACAAATGAAAAAATACATACCATTAGCTACATATGTAATCTTGCATAGAATGTTGTCCCTGCTAATCTCTTGGTTTCCCTCTGGTGGGCTTACCAAGGTTTGACATATCATAGCAACATTTATTTTGGCACGGACACATCGATTGTTTAGCTGCCAAAACAAAAAATATAAAAGCACCAGTATAGTAGATACTCAGTATTTTGTAATCTCTATTGGTCTAATACTACATTAGGCTAACCCAAACCATAACTTACCAAGAGCCCCAATGAAATCTTGTAAGTACCACATAAATAATACATGCCAAGCTGATATGACACCAGGATTTTCCTTCTTATTAAGTAGTAAATGGAGCTAAACTGAGGTAGAAACCACACAGGTTTGGCCAGCAGTTGGTAATGCTTAAGAGATTAATTGTGGGAAGTAGCCTGCATATTACTACCCATTTGGCTCTGTTTCACCAAACCTCTGAAGAAAAGGAAAACAGCCCTGGTAGGATGTTCATAGCCATGACTGTTGCCCTCAGACAACAGATGGGCTATATTGTTCCTAGTAGCCAACCCAACATAAAACAAAATCTAAGAAGCATTATCAAATCAAATATCTCTCTGGGTGTGGTAGGTTTTTATTGCCTTTGCTCTGTATCGTGTATTTAGCTGTATATTGTATAATTATACACATTTATACACTGTACTTACAGGAGCACTGTCGTGATCCACAGAAAAATTACAAACTATCCAAGTTTCAGGGTCATTTTCAGTCAAGGCTGGTATCTTTCGAATGGCAGAAAGATATAATACATCTCGCTGAGAAGCAGGCCACACTCTCTGAGGAGAAGCAAAAATCTTTTGAAAATTTGAACTACTTTTTATTCAGATGTAACATGGAACAGAGAAACAAATGAAAAACCAATAAATGCCTTAGCTAAAGGTGAAATCTGTCAAATTTTAAATGAAAAGCATCTGAGAATATCTATCAAATGATTAATTATAAACATTGAGTTAATAGCTTTGTAGAACATAATCAAAGGAATGTTTTTAATTGTAGTAATATATATACACACATATATACATCTTAATATAATATGATTTTCCCCTTTAACCATTTTTTAGTGTGCAATTCAGTGGCATTAATTACATTCACAGTGTTGTGTAACCATCACCTATTTCTGAAATCTATCATCACCGCAAACAGAAACTGTCCACCCATTAAGCAACAACCCCCAATTCCCCCTGGTGATGTTATGTTTAGAGATTCAAAGACTTAAAAAGCAAAGATTTTAGGGGAAAAAAGACTGTTTCTTTGATATCATAATCATACTCAAAAGAATTCCAAATCATTTAGATTGAATATTTTAATTTTAAGGTATGCAAAGAAAAACATATACTGTGGGAATAACATAAAGCCTAGGTTTCTGATAACTGGGAAAAATTATTTCTAAATGACAGAAAATTCAATTTTTATCCTGTTTTAGTTACTTTTTTTGGGGGTATTTGGTATATGTAATTGAATAGTCCTTATGTAGTATCTTTCATGATTAGAGTGTAATAAATAGCCAACAACTCAGTGTCAATACAACACAAATCACTTGCAAAGTGAAAATGGTTCATCTTTTAAAGATGCAAAATTCCATAAAGCTGACGAAAATAGTGTTGAGCAAATGTATGTGAAGATAATAATACATGAAGATTTGGCACATTTGGAACTAATGAATACAAATCCACAGGATAAGCTAGAAATTTGAAGAATAAGAATGACTTAAATATTAAGAGACAAGTAGCCCTCTTTAAGACCACATTACAAAAGAAGTCAAATTTATTGTATTATGTTATTCAATTTTGTTGAAAAAATTATTACAGGATAGTCTGTTTATTCTATGAATTAGCAAATAATTATAACTATAACTTAAATTTTGTTACATATAAGATATATTATTTTAATAATTTTTAGCTTTTCAATTCTAATACAACATACATGACCATTCCTCCCTCTACAACGTGTAACAGTTTCAGCGATTGTTTTCTATGACCAATTATCTTCAGATAATAAAGTTTTTTTTCTGGTTCTAAATTACTGTCATTTATTTTCATTCTAAATTATAGGGTAATTAATTGATATTTTGACATTTACTAAATTTTGGGTTTCGAATTAGACCTCAAAAATCTTTTTTTTTTCTGAGACAGAGTCTCACTCTTGCCCGGGCTAGAGTGCAGTGGCATCATCATAGCTCACTTCAGCCTCAAACTCATGGGCTTAAGTGATCCTCCTGTCTTAGCCTCCAGAGTAGCTGGGACTACAGGTGCACACCACTATGCCAGCCTGCTCAGGGTGGTCTCAACCTCCTGAGTTCAAACGATCCTCCTGCCTTGGCCTCCCAGAGTGCTAGGATTACAGGTATGAGCCATTGCGCCTGGCCTAGACTCAAAATCTGTAAGAATCTCAATCCTACGCATTTCTTGAGCAGCTACCGTGTAAAATGAAGCACAGTTCATAATTATTAGATATAAGATACCTCAGATGACAAGACTGAGCTCAAGAAATACACACCAAATCTCAAATGTTCAAGTAAAAGAATCATTTAAAAAAGAAAAATGAAGTACCCACTAAATTGGAAAAATGAAGTACCTATTGAATCTTTGTATTTCTTATAAAACGTACAAGCTTGTTTTTGGTGGATCTCTCCAAAATTTTAATTCCTTTTATTATTCTATATATAATGTATTATTTGGCAATTTTCAGAAGGGGAACACAGCAGAATAAGGTAAGGGAAATATTAATTCCACAATTTTAAATATTAAGAATAGCAGAGGGGCTGGGTGCAGTGGCTCATCCCTGTAATCATGGCACTTTGGGAGGTTGAGGTGGAAGAATTGCTTGAGCCCACATATTGAAGACCAGCCTGGACAACCTGGTGAGACCCCATCTCTACAAAAAATTTTAAAAATTTTGATGCATTTCTGTAGTCCCAGCTAATCAGGAGGCTGAGGGAGAAGGATCACTTAAGCCTAGGAGTTTGAGGTTACAGTGAACTATGATTGCACCACTGCACTCAGTTTGAGTGACAGAGCAAGACCCTGTTTAAATAAGAAAAAGAAAAAGAAAAAAAGAAAAGAAGAGCGGAAGGAGAAATAATGTGAAAGGGAACCAATTTAAATTACTATATTTCTGTGTGCTCTGGTGTATGACCAACCTCTCAACAGTCATGCTCACCAATTTTTTTTGCTTTCAGATAATCTGCTTAGATCACTTTCATATCTATTAGTCTTAACATAGGCTAATACCATATTTTCCATTATCCTTATTGCTATTCTTGATAGGATAGGAGACTATGATTCACTTTCATATTTATCTCCTATTGAGATTAGACGCTAGGAAAGTATTTCTATGGATGTATTTCAGAAGACTCTTTTCTAGACTTAAACTGTACATAACAAAAGCTGAGTGTAACGGCACATGCCTGTAGTCTCAGCTGCTTGGGAGGCTAAGGCAGGAGGATGACTTGAGCTGAAGAGTTCTAGACCAGCCTGGACAACATAGCGAGACCTCATTTCTTGGAGGAAAAAAAAAAAAATGTACATGAAGAGAAACTAATCGTAGATCTTTACGAAGCACTTTGTTTCCAGATTATATTTCTCAGATTCCTGCCTGCACACATTTCTGCTCTAAAGGAACTGATATACCTTTCAAATACATGACATTCATGAATTATTAATAAAGTCTCTGGATCTTTTGTGGCATTTAATTTCTTGCCAAATTTTACTTTACAGAATTTATACGTCTCAGTTTGAACTACATTGGAGTCCTTTGGGGATGAATGAAAAGACGTTTACCTTGTGCGTCTGATAAATGATGATTGCATTATCAGCTAATGTTTCCACCACATGAAAATTTTCAATAGTTGCTGAAATGAAGAAAATAATATTAGTAGCCAAAAAGATATATTACCTTTCCCTAGAATGTAATCCATTCAATCATGCTGAAAGTCTATTACAATGAACATTATGGCAAAATGAACAGGATCCTGCCTTACCTAGGGTAAATCCAAATGGAAGGTAGCTAATAATTAGTGTTAGGGCTATAGATGGTGGCTGTGAGGTCTGACTCATCAGAAAGTCTCATTTTTTGGGGCTCAATATCTACCTTTCAAAGCAAGGAAACAATTCTTTAAAATTTTTTTTTATTTTTAATTATTATGGGTACATAATAGTTATTTTTTATTTTTAATTTATTTTGAATTTTTAATAAAGGAGTTCTACTCCCCAACACTATAACCCCTCCCTCTTCCCAATTTTATTGAAGTTAAATAAACTGTTCTATTTAGGTTTAGGTGACTATATTTGTAAAAAAGGAATGTCAAACTGCCAATGATAAACATGATGTCCAGAAGTAACGCATTTCTGAAATTTGGGGTATAAAGGTAATACATACACTAAGAACAACTCTAACCACACAAGGATTCATCTAGAATTTACTATGGAAACAAAACAGTTTAGGAAAGAGCAGATGAAAAAACAGAAACCTTCAATTTCAGTCTTAGCTATTCCACCAACTAGCTCCGTGGCCTTTGACAAGTCACTTAACCTATTTGAATTTTACTTAATTTGTATGGAAAATAAGAAATAGCTACCTATCATGGAGTTTTACTGAGGTATTGGATCAAATGACATACTGACAAGCATTTTGTACACTGAAAAGCTCTATTCAAATGTAAGGTATTATTAGTACTTTATATGATTCTCCAAATATTTTCTACACTGACCTTATGAACTCTATAATCAAATGCAGAAAACCAGGTTGGATTTGATATTAAATTCAAATAGTAATTAGATTAAAATATATTAATAATGACAGCTTACTTTCCCAGTCATTGCGAACATCAACATTCCAGAAGTAATTGCAGACCTCATGTCCTGTAACACCTTTAACTGCATGGGTAGCTTTTAAAGGATCCAGAACAATTCCATTTTCTTCTACTTCTCTTCTATATACCTAAAGAGGACATAATTAAAAAACTGTTTGAAAATTAAAAATCAAACCCCTAAAGTACAAACTTGAATGCATGCTTTTAAATCTGTTTTTTAGATTTTTATTTATGAAAATTTATTTACAGAATATATTCTGCTAAAAGAAATTTCAAATTAATACAGACAGCACAAAAATACTTAAAATACAAATCCAAGGCAAACTTCAACTATGAAAAACATCCATATGTGATGACTTATCGTGAGCTGTTTAAAAATGAATCAATTTAAATTAGGCATTATTTACCAAACATTCTCAAGGACTGTTTAACAAGGTTAAGAAGGCCAAATAAACCTGGTTAGAACATAATCTGCTTAAGGGCACTTGAGTTAAGATACTTTCTTCAATGCTGTATCTCCAACGTCTAGAATAGTATCTGAAACAGTAGACACTCAATTATTTGTTGAATCAATGACTGAAAACTACAACAGCAAAAAAGATTATGAATACAGACCTATCTTGCATTAAATACTGAGGCTGTGTACCTTAAGTACTGAGTAAAATTAACTGCATGAAAATTATAGTTAGTTTGCTACTTTAGAGAACTTTGTGATAAGTTCTTTTGAGAAAAGAAAAAACATGTTATTACGGGAGAACCAGCTTTCAACTTATGGAGTGCCTATGGGGCCAGACACTATGAGGCATTTCACATAGTTCCTCTGTTACATCTCACCAAACTACCTTTCCCTACACACATACTTATTGATTCATGTTATTGGGACCATCATTTTCCCAGTCACCCTTTTCCTCTCACAATTCACATAGCTATGAAGCATATTACTTTCTTCTCTAAGATATCCAACAGCTTGATTTTTCTACTATTGCTTACCCGTTTTAAGTAGGCTTTCATCACCTTGTGTCTAACTCTCTAACTGGTCTTCTTGGTCTTCAGTTTCTTCCTTATCACCTTAATCTTCCCAAAAATGATACTTTCCATACAGTGGCTAACCTACTGCCACAGACAATGGACTATTTTCCTTAGTAGTTTACTTTATGCTTCCTATAATCTAGCCCTAACTTCTATCTCTGTAATGTTGTAGGCTTATTCTGTAATCCTCATTTGAAGTAGAGGGATTTCATCTAGACCATCACCCCTGGGCTTCTCTTCACTCCTTCACTTCCTCCTTCTTAGAGGAGGTACAGTGGCTTATGTTAAAGGTGAGTACAAGGAGGAACAACAAGGCAGGCTTCGCTCAACCCCTTCTTCTGCAAAGATTATACATCCTGGTCTGCTTTGGGGGCCTGCTCCTCTGGGGAAGAAATGTGATTATCCAGCTATGTCAGGGACCTTGTGATCTCAAGCTATTTTCTATAATCAGCTTATCAGAATTATAGCTAACATTTTGGTGTTTCATTTATCTGTCTCCTCTATTTCTTAATTTGTTCCCTATTCAAGAGGAAAGGAAATATCATGTATCTCATTTGCTAGAATAATTCTGATCAACATAGTCTATGTAAAAATCCCGAATAAGAAATTTGCTTTCAAGTTTTTGCTCATATTATCATTTTTTGCCTAAAAAGCTCTCACTTCACCCTTGTCACAACCTTGTTTCCATTTCCAGATATAGTTCAAACGCTTCTCCTCATTGTAAAACAATCTAATTGTTTCAAATCTCAGAGCACTCTTTCTTTTCTAATTTTCTCCACCACTCATCTTACTCTTCACTCAGTACATTATCACATGGAGCCAAGTAATAGCATCTTTTAAATGTCAGTATCGTTTTGCCTCAACTAAAGCTTTAGCTTGGAGGGAGTCTTCTTATCTCTGCATCTTAAGCATAGTGTCTAGGGAATGAGGTAATCCAAAGTTCAATGCTATTGCTGCTTTTCAATCTCTTTATCTGTCATTTCCTTGCTGTTATTTCTGTTTCTGTACTTAGGAATGGGAACAAAATCAGGTGACCAATGTTCAAACACTAAAAAAAAAAAAAAAAAGGTGTAGGAAGAGAAAGGATAAGAAGGGAGGTATGGACCAAAAAGGGAGAGAAACAAAGTGACATCTGGGTGCAACATTCAGTATTGTTAAAAAAAATAAACAAAACAAAATGAAATATCCAAATAGAGGACTATCAGCTAATTGTGAACTACTTATATCTAATTCCCCAAATTTTATTTTCTCCACGGCAAAACAGAATAATTTAGTCATAGATTTATACTGTGATCATAAATTAGTGAAAGCAAACCTAGGGAAGCAAAGACATTTTATTTCTCAGCATCTGGTGCTTCTTTGAGTATATATAATAATTTGTGTTAAAGTAATTTGAAAATGCTATCCTTATTCATATCAATAAAATTGATATGACTGAAACAGAGCTGCACTTTGCAATCTGTAACATTTCAGTGGGAATTACCTTCATTTCTCCTTCTTCTACAACCAACTGCCAATTGGCATCTCCACCTACATCCTGTAATGAGTAAGTCATGTGGTTTTGCACCATCTCTTCAACCTTGAAAAGAAAAATAAAGCTGTGAGAATTCACATCCAGCAGCTACGTCATAATCTCTAAAACAGAATGGTATTCAGTTTATTTAAGTTCAGAAATGGTGCTCTTAGAAAGCTGAGCAACCAAATGCACAAAAGTTAGTAGGTTTTATATAGTATTGAAGAGTTTAGTCCACATTCCAGATATCCAGGTTAATGACAGGAAGGAGAAATGCAGGGAAGGAAAAGGCTTCACTCAAGTAACATGGATTTGTCTAATATTCATCAGGTCACCAAAAAAAGCATTTTTTGGAAAAAAAAAAAATTTCATCCTTTATCATAAAATACAGAGATGATGTCTTAAAACATAAAACCATAGACTACTAAGGATAAAAGGGGCACAAAGAGATCATCTAGTCCAATGTTCCTATATTTAAGACTATGTATGTAGACATATAAGAAAGCTCTGATATGAAGATATTAATATATATGTGTGTCAAAGATTTTCCTACAAAGGTGACACAACTTTATTTCACTGATAAACCTCTTTTATCATGAATATAAATCAATTTAAAAATAATCAATCCTCCATTATTTGATTTCAACTTCACTGTTCTAAATGTTTTTAGAATTCTTTTCACATATATGCAGCAAATATTTACGCATAACCACCTTTTAGTTCATTCTTTCCAAATTTCTAACTACATTTCTTTTACTGAAATTTAAATGCAACTTCTACTTAACTATCACAAATTACACATCTTATATAAATAAGCAAATAAATTTGAATATTTGACACTACAAGAATTCTCAGATTTATGGATAAGATTTCACATGAAAATTCTTTGCAAATTCTCCCAGTTTGAAACTTTTTTTTTTTTTTTTTGAGACAGAGTCTCACTCTGATGCCAAGGCTATAGTGCTGTGGTGTCAGCCGAGCTCACAGCAACCTCAAACTTCTGGGCTCAAGCAATCCTTCTGCCTCAGACTCCCGAGTACCTGGGACTGCAGGCATGCACCACCATGCCTAGCTAGTTTTTTTTCTATATATTTTTAGTTGTCCAGTTAATTTCTTTCTATTTTTAGTAGAGACAGGGTCTCATTTTTGCTCAGGCTGGTCTTGAACTCCTGAGCTCAAATGATCTGCCCACCTCGGCCTCTCAGAGTGCCAGGATTACAGGCGTAAGCTATCGTGCCTGGTCTGAAACATGTTTTTAAGCAGAACTGAAGTGATTAAAAGATTGTGGAAACAAAGCTATTTCATGTAATAAATACATTAGAAAAGGCAGTGAAGATCTGGAAAATATGTATATTATACTTCTATTAAAAAATTATTCCTAAGTTTACTTACTTATCATTTTTTTTTTTTGAAGACAGCGTCTTGCTCTGTTGCCTGGTGTAGTGCCAATATTATAGCTCACTGTAACCTCAAACTCCTGGGCTCAAGCACTCTCCTCCTATTAATCTCCTGAGTAGCTGGGACGACAGGCATGTACAATCATGCCTGGCTAATTTTTCTATTTTTTTGTAGAGAAGGGGTCTCGCTATGTAGCTTAGGCTCATCATCTTCTAAACCTGCCCCAATGCACATAGCCCCTTGTTAATTACACTACTACCTGATCCAAACATAGCCCCCCGTTAAAAAGCCTGGACACTGTTAGTTGGAGAGACAGATTTGGGACCTGATTTCCCAGTCTCTTGACAGATGATTTTCATAATAAAAAATTCCCTTCTTCCTTGGCAATCCTCATTGTCTCAATAATTAATTGGATCTTTGTGCAGTGAGTAACTGGGCATAGGCTGAAAACGCCTTGCAGTTTTGATAATAAGAGGGGCCATCACTCCAATTCTAACCTTTTCCTCTATCTCACATGTGAATCATTCATTATGATGTTATTTTTGGAGGCTACAAAATTGAATCTTCCCAACACTATTAACACAGAAATTTGAAAAGAAAATTGCCCTTTGATGGTACAATAAAAGTCTAGAAGGGCTAAAAACCAGCTCAGATCTCTTATGCATGTGAAAGAATATAACTATGTTTATTGTTACAAAGTCACAAAGACACAGAGGGGCTTGTTAGCTAGCATAATTTATTAATAACAAATTAATAGTGTGGTGTTACCCCGAAAGAAAAATGGCCAAGGACACAGTTAATCCAGTGAAAAAATGTAAATGACCCAAAACTAAAAATAACACTCTTAGTCTATCGGATTGGTAAAAATGAACTGAATTATAATACTCAATGTCAGTATCGCAAAAGAAAACTGGCCTGGTTCAACTTCCTAATGAACAATTTGGCAATAAGAATAAAAAAATTTAAAAATGTCCATGGCCTTTGTCCCAACAGTGAACACTTCCAGGAATATATTCTAAGAGTGCAAAGACCTATACATTAATACAAGGATACTACTACATATGCAAGGATGCTCACTGTAGTACTACTTTTAATAGAGAAAAACTGAAAATAAGCTAAATGTTCAATGTTAGGTGAGTAGGTAAATCCAGCATGCATAAATAGACAAAGAATTATCTACTCTGGCAGAAAAAAAGACAATTATTAAGGTGTGTGTGTATATTTATATATGCCTAATTTTATACATATACATATAAAAGATAAACATGAAAGTATTAATAGTGATCTACTATTTCAACTTTATTCTACTTTCTAGTTTTGCTAAAATTGGTGTATATCACTTGTACAATAAAGAAGGGAAGAGTGAAATAATTGGAATGATATTACTACGGACATGGAGTGAGAAAGATTTTTACACAGAACTGTTTTTTGCTATGATGCGCACCATACATTAAGCTGCAGATGTACTTGCACACCCTTTCTTTCTTTTTTAATAGAAGATGATTTTCCCCCTTTGAGTTCTAAGGCAACATCTTTAAAAGGCAATTGTGTTATACAAATAAATATGACCAAAAACATCCATTTATAAATCCAAGTCTTTTCTACTCTCTGTAAACCTGAAAATTATCTTCTAGTTTGTGGATACAGTCATTATTTCAGGAACTTGCAGTTTTTTACAACTCTAATTTCTCAGATTTGGAGTGGCATCATTCCTATTATCTGCCCATTAGACAGACTCATGTGTTGGTACTAGTGTCCTAATATCCTAAAATAGTCATATATTTTATTTGAAACTATTTTCAGGGCATCTCTCAGTTCTATGATTATCCTACCCAATCAAGCCTATGAAACATCATTTCAACAAGGATGTGATAGTAAAAGCAAAGCCAAATTATCAAAAGTTTAGAAAGTTTCTTTTTTTTTTTTTTTTATTTTTTCATTTTTTTTGAGACAGAGTCTCACTCTTTTGC